AAAAAAAAAAAGGTTGAGAAGTTAGAGGGTTGACATGTTGTGGGGTTGTTAACCAATGTCATAAAACAACCTATGTACTACTGTTTCATGAGAAACTATTTGTTCTGTAAGCCTTCACCTGAAGTACAATAAAAAAAATAAAAATAAAAAAAAAAACCTCTAGACTGGTTCTCATGGTGCTGTTGTCTTGCACCGTCAAGCCGATTCAGACTCATGGCAACGCCATGTGTTACAGAGTACAATTGCACCATAGGGTTTTCTTGACTGTAATTTATACAGAAGCAGATCGCCAGGACTTTTCTTCCACGGTGCCGCTGGGTGGGTTCAGACTGGCAACCTTTTGGTTACCAGCCAAGCGTAAGCCATTTGTGCCATCCAAGGACTTCATTTCATAACAGATTCTCTACTGCTAATACTAATACTAACTGTAAATGTAATGGCTAGCTTAAAGCACTGGGCACCTCTCATGTATTAGATCACTGGATCTTCATCACACCCTTTCCCTTAACCACCATTATCCCCATTTTACTGATGAGGAAACTAAGGCTCAGGGGGCTTGTAACTTGCCCATCATCACACGCCTAGTCGGGGCACAGTGGATGGAAATCCAGGCAGTGGGATCCAGAGACCCGGCTCATATTTGTACTGCTGTACTGTTTGTTCTGTGGAAACTCAAAGAACGTTCCTTTTCTTGCATCATCTCTCAAAGCAAGGATTTCTACTGATGCCTGCACACTACCTCTCCCATGACATCACATAATGTCCCTTGGTATGGCTTTTATATTGAAGAAGGACTTTTGTTTTTACTGCTATATATTTTTAAAACTGCTAATAGCATCTGATGCCAAAAGCTTGTGCGTGCAGTTAGTTGGTGACTGCTGTTTACCTGCACCCCAGGCTGGGCGATGAAATGCTGGTCTGTTGCCTCCACTGCCAGCTCCAAGCAGTTGCTTCCACCCCAAGCTTCACAGGAATAAACCAGCAGTTGTTCAGCCAACTCTTCGTCGCTGCTGTAACACTCCGTGAACAACTCTACAGTGCGGCATCAACAAAGGGAGACGCTGGAGTCAGGGCTGGAAATAGACCAAACTCTCCCGCCCAGCCCCTCCCCGCCCACCAACCCCTGACTTCAAGGAGGGCCTGCCCTCATTACATAACTCTTCACTGAGTAGAGGACTCTCTTTAGACGCACGATAGCCCCCCGAGCTCCTTGCCATAGTGTTGTTGCTGTCGTTAGCGGCGTCAAGTCAGCCTCCAACTCATGGCGACTGAGGCACAATAAAGCAAAACACTGACCAGTCCTGCGCCAACCCCATGACCAGTTGCAAAACTGACCATTGTGCTCCATGGGATTTTCATTGGCTGAGTTTTGGAAACAGATCACCAGGCCTTTCTCCGTAATCCATCTTAGTCTGGAAGCTCTCCTGAAACCAGTTCAGCATTAGAGCAACACACAAACCTTCACTGACAGATGGGTGGTGGCTGTGAATAAGGTGCATTGGCCAGACTCGAACCCCAGTCTTCCGCGTGGAAGGCGAGAATTCTACCACTGAACTACAACTGCCTCCCCACTTGCCATAGCAGGTGTCAATGAATGCTCATTGAATTGAGCTGCATGGAACACAGGGAGTTTCCCTCTTGAGTGGGGTTCCATCTAAGCTCAGGCTGGACAAAATGTGGGTGTACCGGAATGATAACTGGTACGAGAAAAATTACAGGTTGAAGCCCTGGAATGAGTGACACAGAAGAGGCATAGTAGGCCCTTTCAGGAGCCTGATTTAGGAGATTGAATTATTGCCAGGACTGTGGAGAGCAACACACATTCAAAGCAGCATGGTCATCGCCATCTTTGAGCGGGACACTGTTTCCACCTCTGCCAGTCAAGAGATTTGGTTGCTATGCAACGCACATGCTGCCCTTGTTTCCTAAAAAGGAGAGTAAGTTTCTAGCAGGGCTTCAACTCATAATTTTTCCCATTCTGGTACACCCACATTTTACAAATTCAGATCCATTCCAGTTTTGCTTCGTTGGCCATGACTGAACCCAGAAGAACTGGTTCAAAGCCCTGGGTAGAAGAGCTTCAGCCACTGGGGAGGGTTCCAAACCCTCTGCTCTCATGTAGCCAGAGTGACTCCTCATCTCATTCACATACTATGCTTTCTTGGGGAGATGTATTTGTAGATAAGGCACAGAGAAAAACAAAAACAAAGCATAACAACCAAAAAAAAAAAGATGTAAGAAACATGGCCTATTGCACTGAGTGTCCTATGTCTTGTGTCCTAATGACAAAGTCATTGGAGTGGAGATCTCCAGAGGAAACGTTTAAAAAGTCAGAATATTAGGGATTGGAGTTTAATCATGGTTACCAAGGGCAGGAGCAACCATTTTTCGGGAAGCAATGAGTCTCTGCTTATGGGGATGGAAAATTTGGCAACCAATATCGGTGATGGTTGTACAACATGATTGTCATAATTGGTGTCCCTGAGTTGAACACATGAAGAATGCCAAATTGCAAATATGTCATCTATACTTTTACAACAATGAAAGGAAATATTAAAAAATATATATATTAGGAGCCACAGCTTGAGTTCGATTGGAAATTAACATAGTATCTTTGAAATTTTAAAGCATTAAAAGAAATAATTGGGCACTGTTATGGATTGAATTTTGTCCCCCAGAAATGTGTTGCAAATCCTAATCCCTATACCTGTAGTGGCGCAGTGGTTAAGCACTCGGCTGCTAACCGAAAGGTCAGCAGTTCAAACCTACCAACTGCTCCATGGGAGAAAGATGTGGCAGTCTGCTTCCGTAAAGATTTACAGCCTTGGAAAGCCTATGGGGCAATTCTACTCTGTCCTACAGGATCACCATAAATAGGAATTTGACTCGATAGCAATGGGTATTTTTTATACCTGTGGTTATAATCCTATTTGGAAATGGGTTTTCTTTCTTATGTTAATTGTGGCAGTATTAGCATAGGGTGTGTCTTGAGTCAATCTCTTTTGAGATTTAAAAGAGGATGTTAAGCAAGCAAGCAGAGATGGGGGAAGACAGATGCCATGTTTCATGAAGATCACCAGGGAACCAAGGAACATGGGCTCTCCCCCAGAGCCAAATGAGAAAGCCTTAGAGCTGGTGCTCTGAGTTCGGACTTCTAGCCTCCTAAACTGTGAGAGAATAAATTTCTGTTTGCTAAAGTCACCCATTTGTGGTATTTCTGTTATAGCAGCACTAGATAACTAAAACAGGCACCTTTTTCCAACACAGAAGCTAAACTCATGAGCACATTTTACATCAGATAAGACAATAGACGAACACGTATCCAAATACCACATTATAAGCTCACAACTCCCAAATTAAAAAGGAACAACTGGAGCCAGCCTCGAGGCCACCTGCTGTTGGAGTGACTGATTGGTCTGAAGTTTCTCACACTCTGTCCTTGCACAGTCTTGTCTCAGAGGACAGGGCATGGCCAAGCTTTGTACAAGGATGATTGAATAGCAAACAGATGCCTCTCTCCAGAGATGTCCCAGGAGAGCAGAGCTGAGTGATGCCTTGCCCATCTGCTGGGAGCAGACTGGCTCCCAGGCCAGGGCAATGAGCAGCCTTGCCCGGAGGGGAGGATGGCAGGTCACCAGCAGCTCTGATAAAGGTGCCCCGAGTTCAGGGCGCTGCAGGGCAGACAACACACAGCTCTTATCTCCGTCATTCCATGGGAAATTCAGGCCCAGGACCAACATGAGATGCCACCCTGATGCCACCTTTGTGTGAGTAATAAACCGTCTGCGTCCCCAACCCAGGGGCCTGGGGCGTCTGTCAGTCTATGCACATGACACGGTACAGGCTAACCTATTAGCTTGCAGGAAGGTAAACTCCCAGGCCCAGCTCTGACTTCACAGTATCCGGATCCCACATCCCAAACTCAAAACCCTCAAACTGAAAACAGAGACTCCCAGAGCAGGCCTCCAAACTCCCTGAGGGGCTGTTGTTGGACCTGGGCTGGGGGTGACACTGGGCAGCCGTGAAACCAGAGGCCCAAGATTCCCCGCTTCTTCTGTTCCAGAAAAGTCAGGGAGTGGCAGGACCCAGGGGGCCGTGGCCTTTCCACTATGGCATTTGTGACACTGACCACAGTGGGGGGAGCCGGGACATGCCACTGACCTCAGCCACCAGCATGTGAGTGCCACCGGGCCTGTGAGTGCTACCAGCATGTGTGTGCCACCAGCACGTGGGTGCCACCAGCATGTGTGTGCCACCAACATGTGAGTGCCACCAGCCTGTGTGTGCAACCAGCATGTGTGTGCCACCAGCATGTGAGTGCCACCAGCATGTGAGTGCCACCAGCATGTGTGCGCCACCAGCATGTGAGTGCCACCAGCATGTGAGTGCCACCAGCAT